TATGGTCCCACCGCAACTCTATCGTTCCCTTTGGTCGTTAGTATCCTACATTACTTCTTTCGTTGGAAGTGCGAGGTAGGATGGTGCTTATAGGCGATTTGGCAGCCCTTGAGCCCTCGGCTCGTATTAGGGTGGTTTGCAAGTACGGGGAACGCACCCACGACCATGTAACAACAACAACAACAACAACAACAACAACAGCAGCATGTGGTGCATATCAGAATCATTCCTGCGTCGAAGGTCTGTCCTCGCTCCCTCAGCAGCACCATTGATCGTCCCTTCACCGAAAATACATACAACCACTTGCCGAATATGTCGATGGGTGGGGATGTAGCCTGCCTACTGCACATGCCTTGCATGTTCCAGGTAAGTGTATCGATATCGCTTGCCAAGCCGCTACAATTTTACATATCGTGTGGTGCATGGTCAAGAAGCCAGCTACAGCACACCCATGCATGGACCAGATGTGCTGCCATTCGGCAAATTGGGCATGGCATCCGTCAGCTCAGTGGCTTTGGCTACCATGTGGCTACATGTGTATGCAAAGTTACATACCTTTAATATTCTGTTTTATATGGGGTTTGGCACCACTGGTAAGGCGCGACCATTACCCCCGGGAGATCCCGGGATCGATACCCGTTCGGGTCAAAGATCTTCCGATGGTGGAAGGCATTGCGCCCCTAGTTGATGGATAAAGTTAACCTGCGAGCCGACCAGGAATGGAGTTGGGCCGCTATCGACCCGGCAGATTCCGTTGGATGCTGGTGCGGAACCTGAGCAATCCACTGAGAGGTTGACTAGGGTGACTGGATGAGGGTGCCCCGAAATACCGGTAGCTGCCACGGGCGAAGATACACCCCCCTGTTTCACACATTCTGTGATACTCGTGAGTGCGTGTTCCAGATTGCCATTCACCATTATATCCATGGGCTTTCACCCCGGTAGGTTGTGTGGTAGGAGCCATGCAAGTTACAAGTACAAGCTCCGCACCATTGCGTGGTGCGCCCGTAAAAGCCGGGGAGCCCATGGACCGTCAAAAGCCATTGTTGTGGCACCAAGTGAGGACGTTGACGCCCGCGCCTCGCTCACCTGGGCTGAGCATGATGCGCCTGGTCTCCTCAGACCTCAGAGGGAGAACTAGCCACATCTATAAGGGGGGTTTCCGCCATATCTGTACGCATGTCGCTCCCTCTGAACCCAATATGCCCCTCATATTTAACTCGAAGGCCTCCATAGGCTGGCATTCACGAAAGACATGCAGCTCGTCCTCGACCACTCCGCAGTCACAAAGCCTGCAGGTACACGCGGCACGCCAATGGCCATTAGGCCGGCCTGTTAACTTCCAGTTCCGAACAACATAATCTGAAAAGCATGTGGGCACCTGGTGCAGGAAGCACCAAGAGTCGGCTGGCGTCGTCGCACGTCGTGACAAGTATGTGCGTTATGCAGATAGCTAAATTGATAATGTTTAATCTACGTATTAGACATCAAGCGGTTGTGCCCGAGTGGTTAAGGGGTCTGACTTGAAATCAGATGGGTTAGCCCGCGCAGGTTCAAATCCTGTCGACCGCGATATGTTTTGCTGCAGGCTAGCACGCTGACTATATGGCCTCACTGCCAACATGCTTTTTCAGGGTTCATGTCCGGGCCAACTAGCAGTATCCGTGCCCTCCATGTGTGTGTGTGTATGTGTGTGTGTGTGTGTGTGCACTGGTGGTCCTCCCTGCATCCCAGACAGCAGCATCCTATACATGTATGACCTAGGCCCCAAACCCAGATTGTTGGTGCCTGATGTGGGCGGCGACGACGTGGCTGGCAGCAGCTGCAGGGCCTGAGGCGCAGGTTGTCCGTGGTGGCACACGGGGGCTGGTTGCAATCATGTGCCGCAGCTCGGTGGCGCCGGGGTGGTTAATGGGGACATGACTTGTGACGGGCGGCACACCCTGCAGCCGGTCCGCCAGCACGTGGCCAGCACGGCCAGCAGGTCGATTGTGTGCAGGAAGTCACTCAAGGTCATACAGCTCAGCGGCTGTAGGCGAGCAGTGGCGCCCGCCACCGTACCTGCAGCATGATTCAGCTGTGCAACGAGTGGGTCATAGCCGTTCAAGGGCTCACTACAAGCGGCCAGCCGTTGCAAATGTCCATGAACACACCCGGGTTGCCGACGGGCTGTGTGAAGACGGCCGCCAGGCTGGGTGGCGCTTCGGAGGTAGTGTTGAAAGGACCTCGTCCGTGCCATGCGTCTTGTTAGACAGTGGCAGTGGTGATGGTGTAGGGCTTGGTGCTGCTGGAGACCGGTGGCTGCGGTGGCTGCGGAGGCTGAGGTTGTGGCTGTGGAGGAGTCTCGTCTGATGACGCGGGAGTAAGCTGTTCAGCGGACATAAGCAGCACGGCACTCGGCGGCACGACCTCCTGCAGCCCTACTCCTACAGTCTGAGCTGTACCGGCTATCCTTTTAGCAAGCGTTGGTTTGGATCATATTGCAACCCCGAAGGGCCCGGATGGGGCCACTACTCCTCCGTTTTCTAAGTTTTTTGGGGCACGACGTATGGAAAGAGGCCCCGCGAGGGCTACACGAAGTAGACGAACGAGTGGAATGGCTGACGGAAAGGACATTGCCAGAAGGTGTGGTATTGGAGTTCAAGGACCGATTGGTGAGATGGTTGGAAGCATACGCGTCTAGATGTCCAGCCAGACGTATACCCGTCAGACGGCAAGCAACCAGGAATTCACGTGGCGAAGTATGAGCATTGGATGGGTCTAGCAGCCGAACAAGCGGGCAGGAAGGAGGTGCTCCCGCGTATCAGAATGTTTATCCTGGGTTCAGCGAATCGCAAGGTTATGCAGTTTAGGCTTTGCTGTTGGGCATTGGCGGCTAACAGAGCGCGTTATATACCTAGGGAGGAGCGAGTATGCCCCTGCTGCGGCACTGATAGCCAGGATGAGAAGCACATTTTGCTGGACTGCCCCGTTGTACGATAAAATCGGATAAGGATTTCCCACGCTTCGAGCATATGAAGGACGCCATGAAGTGGGAACCTGAACATCTGGCAGGGATGCTGGAACGTATATGGTCCCACCGCAACTCTATCGTTCCCTTTGGTCTTAGTATCCTTTATTACTTGCTTTGTCTGAAGTGCGAGGTAGGTGCTTATAAGCGATCTGGCAGCCCTTGAGCCCTCGGCTCGTATTTGGGCGGTTTGCAGGTACGGGGAACGCACCCACGACCATGTAACACACACATATTGCAATAACACTCCTGACTTCTTGCATTTATGGTATTCTCATTAAACACAAGCAAGCAGTGTTGCTGGTTGGAGGGCTCATAATTGTGGGTGGCGGTAGTTCCCAGTTGGTTGTACTTCGTTGGTAGTTCCCAAATGACGGCCTGCTCATGTTCGTTGGCTGGCCTGTTTCCCCTGGTGTCATATGTACGACAGCCGTATTAGCACCGTAATGCGCGACAGCCGTATTGTAGACCTTGTGGCCATGTGTGCCTTGTGGGCACACGTGCATGCATGCCAGTTTTACCGGGTGCGCACTTAGATAATCCAGTCTTACGTGGTTTTGAAAGGTTGCTTATTAGCCTAGTGCATGTGAGCCACTCACCTAAAGCCGACATGAGTTTTCTTTATGAACATGGAGGTCGTTTAATCCTAGACACGTACATGCCGATTTACCCTGATTTGCACTTTGGAGGGCCCAGGCCTACAAGGGTATGAATGCCTACCGCCCACCTAAAACCGAAGCGTAACCAGCTCAGACCTAGAAAAAAACGACATGAAATTGACATGAACATAAAGATATCTTTGATTTCTAAACGTGTACATGCATGTAATTGTCGCTTAGCCGCGTCGAGCCCAGGCGAGCAGGGGAGGAAGACAACATCCTCACTCGGCGCCAGAACAGTGAGAATTGACATGGGGCCCCGGGCTTAATGGAATCGGCCGGGGAGCCCCTGCATATGTGGGGAACTGGTAACCTGTAACTATGCGACGTACTAACGGCCATGACCACGCATGTCGTATCTATGGGCTGCCGGGGTAATGGGGCCCCGCACTGGTAATTCTCACATCAATTGCCATCATATTTGCCAGAGTTGGCGTTGCACGTTTGTAGGTCAATGGTGCGTCGCGTTTTGCTTCTATGGCGGGATGGTTCAAAAGGTCGGTCATCGTGTGCGGCAATTTACGCCGAGTCATGTCTGCACATGCGCTTTTGGCGGTTACCTTTATTTACCAACGTTCGCATCTGGATCCGTGCGTTAGTAGCTTTTGTTTGGAGGGCGTCTAGTCGATCATGTTTCAGAGAATGCGGCGTTCGCGGCTTGCCGTTCCTGCATGGAAATTATGATAACCTGTTGCTTTTTTAACGATTATGTCTCGTATATGCGAAAGCAGAAACATGTGAAAGCCGTCCACCCGCAATCTTTTGGGCCCGGCCGATGTTTCCTATTGACTTCACTTCTATATTCCGACATTTCTATGAGATTCCTAAAGCTCCTACCATCCGCGTCGTCCTGCTGCCGTTTTGTGCAGTCGCATAGATACACATACAGGCATGTGCTGGCGGTCCCCGTTCCACTCGATTTGCTGGTTTGGGCCAAGTCCATTTGGCACTCGCGTCTATATGGGCAGCAGCTGCTGCAGCTGCCACCGCATGCAGCTTACTGTGCTGTGAACCCAGATAGCGGACATACACACAGCGCTGCAGGAGCGGACAAGCCCAGCACACACACTAGGTCCTTCCCAACATAACCTGCCTTCCCAGTAGCTCTGAAACCAAGGCGCAGACTGGCGCTGCACAGGAGCCACCACACCTGGGTGCATCTATTGGGACCGTACTGCGAGCTTACCAGCTGCAACCACCTGACCGAGGCTGTAGCTTCCATGGTGCTTCCATGGTGGTGCTGCTGCTACTGCTGAGAGATGCCCGGAGTAATAAAACGCAAAGGGGAGGTCATTAATTGCGAACGTTTGGACTGACAGGCCGAGGGCGCCATGCGGCTCCGCGTGTTGACATGGAACATTAACGGGCTGCGCCGCGTCGTGGCCGTGTTCGGGGGTCTGCAGCGGCTGCTGGAGGCGCTGGCGCCCGCGGACGTGGTTTGCTTCCAGGAGACCAAGCTTACTCGGGTGGATCTACAGCGGGAGCTCGCTCTGGCGGATGGCTGGTGGGTGGTTGGGGGGTGCTGAGAGTGGGAGGGGGGGAGACGGGGAAGAATTTCGTGATGGGAAGGAGAGGGAAGGCGAGTGAGTTTGTGTGAGTCAGGTTTAAATGTGGGTTAACATGGGTGTGTGTGAGTGGGTGGATATGGTTTGTATTGAGCTGGTATGGGGGGGGGGGAGGCTGTGAGAGAAGGATGGCGGGCCGAAAAGGAAGGACCAGGCATGGGGCTGTGCAGGGGTCCCCGGCCGGAGCTGGGTAAGCTGTATTGACAGGGAATCGGTTCTCCTTTTTCGGCCTCTCTGTTTGTTTCTTCCCATATTGTTTCTCGCTTTCGCGTGCACTTATTTCAATCAAATTGCATCTGCCTGGAGTGATGATGATTGACAGCTAGCGATGCAGTGGCTGGTGGTGTTGGCATGTACGGACGTGTACGACTGTACGGACGCGCGCCGCCGCAGGGAGTCGTTTTTCGCCTTCACCCGCGGCAAGGTGGGATACTCGGGTGTTGCCACGTTCTGCCGCCGTGACCGCGCCCTGCCGCTGCACGCCGAGGAGGGCTTCACCGGGGTACTGCATCTGACATCCGGTACGGCTTACGACAAGTACTGCAAGCAGTACTCCTATGGATATGGTGGTACATACGACTTAAGGCCGGCGGTTGTTTGCCAGGGTGCATTGGGTAGTAACCCCGGGGGTTTGTCGATGGGAAAAGAGCTATGGGGGCACTTGGTTGCTGTGTGCCCATTGCTATTGCTGCTGCTGTTGCCGCTACTACTGCAGCTGCTGCTACTGCCATACGAATCCCATGGCGACTTCCCAACCCCTTCTTACGCTTAGTTGGATGGTGTGTGCATGGGCGACGCGCCGTGGCATGTGCTGGATTGCTATTATCTACTGTGTCGTTACTGGCCGCCGCAGAAGGACTACACCCCCGCTGGCAGGCCGCGGGCTGTAGTCCGGAACAGCTCCGGAACCTGGATGGGGAGGGGCGCGTGGTGATCACGGACCACGGCGGCTTTGTGCTCGTCAACGTGTACGGCCCAGCCATCACCAGCGAGGAGCGTGCGGAGGAGCGTATGTCGTATAAGTTACAGTTTTATCGGGTAGGTAGGTCTCTGTTGCCGTACGTGAGTACTGGGTGCCCGGGTGAGGAGGGGGGTAGGTGGTGTAAGGATGCGGTGGCACTGTGTGTGTGTATGTGTGGGGGGGGTCGGACGCCGGAGATGACCTTGTGTGCCACAGTGGAAGAATTTGAATTGCGGCAAGTCAACGGGACGGAGACTCGGAGGTCGCACACAGGATGGCAAACACGGGGTGAGGCCGGCATGGGGTGAGGCCGGCATGGGGTGAGGCCGGCATGGGGTGCACATGGTTCATTTTGTCCTACCCGGCAGGTGGGTATGGCAAAGGGACTTCACTTGTGGTGGTGAAGGCACTTCACCTGTGCCAAATTGCGATCAGTGCCAACTCTGAGAGGCCGTTGCGACTCAGTTTGCTTGAATAAGTTCACGACAATGATGATACTGACTGTAAAGCAGCCGCTGTTATTGGCATCACCTTTCCACCCCGCGGGTTTCCCCAATGGCTTTAGAGAGGAGGCTCTGGGCTCAAGTGCACATGTGGAGGGAGCCATGTGCACTTATCATCCCCTTCAAACCGAGCCGTGTGCACACTCACTCCGTCACATCTATGCTAGCCGTTCCATCTCTACGTTTCTCCTCTTCCTTTCCTCCTCATGTTCTTGTTGCGCTTGTCTTCGAAGGCCCCCAGCACTTGCAGCACGCTTAGTACGCTGCTGCAGTCAGTCATGGACCATCAGGGCTGGATGGCAGGCTTACCATACCGCCCACCATCTCGCGTCCCGCTTCCTCCCCCTCCTCCCTCCCTTCCTCCCCTCCACATAAGGC